GAAGAGTGCATCTGGGATCAGGTACGCCCTCAGGTGTGTGCTCTCTCTTTCTATAGCCGTAGCTGTGTGGTTTGTTAAAAGTACCAAGGAGACCTGATGGCTTGCATCTAGGAAACAGCAGAGTAACAGACCAAAAATACTTGGGTATTTTTCATGCCTTCCAGCAGCAGCAAACAGGCATGGGAGAGCGAGGAAACATACTTTGCCAGATCCCTGTGAGGTTACTCCTCCAAACTGCCTATGGTTACCTCCAGCAGCAGGGGAGGATGTTGGGGTGTCCTCTTTCTCCTGCTGAAATTCATCGCAGGTTCCCTCTTCATTCTGGTGTGACACCACACCCTTCAGAGGTGGGGGTAAATGTCTGGAGGCTGCCTCTGGGGCACTGTGAAACAACCCAGCTGAGGCACATGCACCAATTTGGGCCAGTGGAGCACTGTCGTGGAAGGTGGCTGGAAGGAAAAAAAAAAAAAGCAAAGCTAGTGTGGCAAATAATTGTACTCCTTCTACTTCTGTGTTTGTTGGTTTATAACCAGATGAGATCTGTGTTAAAATCCCTTTGTCAAGGAGGTGTGCTTTTCCCATACAGGAAGGCTCCCTGGAGTGAAAATTCATTAGCATCCCAAGGGCTCAGCCCAAGGTGTGTTTGCCCATCTGCTCATGGAAGGAGTGAATCTCCTTTGAGAAGGCAACAGAGATGGTAACTGTACACAGGTTCAAAATGAAGCAGTAATCCACTAAGTGACCAAATGTGCCAAAAGTAAACGTTTGTACGGTGGGTCTTAATAGAGTTAGCTTAACATATTGTAAATCTGTGAATACAGTTGTAATTGGGTCAGGAGTTTGGCATAAGAAACAAGAAAGTGTCTAAACATGCCTACAGTGACACCAGATCAAAAACACTCAGAGCAAGAACTGTAAAGAAAAAAAGGGCTTCCCTGAGAAGAAGAGTTAATGACACCCTGCCGGGAGTGCAGCAACGTGGCAGCCCATTAGCTGGGTTTTGAGGACTCCACTGGCTGAAGGCAGAGCTGAGCCGGTGCAAATTGCCATAATTCCCCTGCAGTTAGTAGCGCTCCAGCAATTACCACTGCTCTCAGCCTGCCCTGAAAAATGACCGCAGCTCCAATACTGCTTCAGCTGTGCTAAGCTACCCATGGTGATTGTACCCTCTCTTCTGCCCTGGGTGCCTGTAGCTACAGCTTCCTCACGCCAGCAGTGACACCCGGCAGCTCCTGTGGTGACCTGCCGGCGGAGGATGAGCTGAGACCTGGCACTGGTAGCAGGGAAGGGTTGAGCTTGTGGGGCTGGGAGTAGTGGCAGGTCCGGGATGATTATATGTTGATTTGAAAATAGATTTGGGCTCCAGGACCCTACTACCGCCTCTTATAGGCTGCAGCTAATTGAGGATAGTGTTGTGATTGCACATGTGGAAATGGGGACACTTAAACTGCTGTAAGCAGCTCTCTCCCCACCTCTCCTGTTTCCCACCCATGGGTGCCCATCCCTATCCTTTTCTGTCCCACGACATTATGGTGTTAGAGCAGAGCTGTGCGAAGCCAAACCAGGGGAATGGATCGCCACTTTCCCATCTCTGAGCTTGTTAGGTCAGGTGGGACATGGCAGCATGTGGGCACCCAGCTTGGGCAGTTTGTGTCCATGCGAAACACCATCCGTGCTGCTGTGATGGCTTTTCCCAGACAACAGGGATGAAAGAGCTAACATGATGCTATTCTTTTTCTCAGGTAGAGCTGAAATGCTCAGTGCAAAACTGACCACAGACCAAACGGAACTATTTCTGGTTTAAGCTGAAAGAAATGTAAATGGTCTAGCACGAGAATAAATCTTATTCTAACCTGCAAAGAAACCGCATTCTCCACCTTGGGCTTGTGGCTGCAGAGATCTCATAAATACAGAGTTCACCTTGGGAAGCTCCACTCACAGGTGAATTTTCAGATTCTTTCCTTTTCCTGAGGCTGCTACGTTCCATCCCAGGGAAGAGTCCTGCCTATTAGTTCCCTTTCTAGAGATGCTGGTAATACTTCAGACAAAGTGTATAAACACCATGGTCATGAGACTTCATTCACCTTTGGAAAGTCCCTCTCTCTCCTTGCCAATTCATAAGGGGACCAAAACTCTGGATTTTATGGCCCCAGCCCAGTTTAGCAGTCCTGGATGGATTGACAGCTGCCCTCACACACACACAGAAGAGCAGTGGAGCAAAGCCCTGAGCTAGATCTGTTCAGGTCAATCTGATTTTTAAAATCTTTCTTTTCAGGAAACGTAAACTGGGCTTGCCAGGGCTGAGGCTGAGGAAGAAATGCAACATAAGGTAAATCAGGTTCTTTACAGACAGCAACCTGGACAGCATGCTGTTACTCCAGCTGTTGGTAGCACTTCAAAGAGAGCTCTTACTACTGACTTGGGTTTTAAGGCATTGAGGAGCTGACTGCTGAAGTATTATGAGTTATTATTTCTTTGAAAGATGTGTGCAGCTTGTTTGCAGACCCCAAAATCTAAAACAAAGCATAGAAAAGGGTTTATATGGGTCTGAAAAGAACCACAAAAACTGGGGAAGTTTGCATAGTTTCCCACATATGCCAAAAATACAGATTGAGTCAAGCAAAAAAGTCTTTGTTGGTGACAGAAGAAAAATTGCTGCCCTGCCGCAAAGTAGGCATAGCTTTGTTTATGTTGGCTGGCAATATCTTGTACTCATCCTGGACTGCCATTCTGGCTTTCTCAAGATAATGCTTCTGTGAGATGGTTAGCCAAGTAGATAATTGTGTTTATTGGCTCCATATTTACTAACATGGTATATTTGACAAAGTTATGGCTGGCAGTGCCTTTAAACTGTGGTTCAATGGATTTATCAGCTTGCAGTGAAGTATGAGTTTAGATATGTTATCGCAAGTCTGCACTATCTCTAATCCAATTAATTACTGGAAAATGTGTTAAAATAATGACTTCTGACAAATTAAGGAGGGAGAGTTTATGCTCATCTAGTTATAGGACTGCTTAATTCTAGTAAGGAATTTATTATTAATTGTTTTGCTCAACAGAAATGTGGAAACAGAAATATTGGTGTTTGCAGTTGCCCATACCCAGGCACAAGGAGCACTCCAGCAGGAAGCACTTTTCTTTGATAAGCCATTTAAGACAAATATTGTATTTGATCTCACGAGTCAAAACCTCCTGCTGGCACAGCGTAGTCCAAGGAGACGGTAAAGCAGTTTCCCCACCACAGCAGAATACAGCAGTGAGCACAGACAACACAGCTAATGGAAACCAGCCCACAAGTAGGACTACAACTTGCTTGCTGTCGGCTTTTTTTGTCCCCTGGTCCACTAGGACCAACTCCAGCTTCAAAAAGGGCTGGTGAATTGGGCAAGGAGGTGTCCCTCCTGTGTCGGGTGGGATAGTGTCTAGCGCTCGGCAGTACAGCCGGCAGAGCCACCCGCTCGTGCCTGTGGGAAGCAGCGCCCTGCTGCGCAGAGCAAAGGGTTGCAGGGAAATAATGTTACATCTAACCAGGGACAGTTTCAGCCTCTCCACCAATTGACCAAAGGACATGGTGTAGAAATGTTACCGGGTAATGCATTCCCTGTTGGTGTGTTTGTCTTCTAGATGTGATGAGGTCATCTAGGAAATCTCAAATTCAGGTCACTCCGATCAACCAGAGTTTAGCAGGAGAGAGTACAGTACCAGCATGAGCTGCAGATGGAAGTTGTGAGTTTGCCCAAGAAAGAATGAATGTATAATGATTTATATGCAAAAATAATATAAACAAAAGGGCTTGTAAGTGATACTTTTTTTCATAGTTCACACTTCTGTGACGAGATAAAGTAAAACACTGAGGAAAATTCAAAAATACTGGGTCAAGTGGATCCTGTTGCTGTATTTACTCCTATTTGGACACCAAAGTGGAGCATGTGCAGTCCTGCTCTGCGAAGTGACTGTGAAACTGTCTGGATGCCTTTTGGGTAACTGATTTGCATGTAAAGCAAATCTTTCCTAATTACCTTTCATGAAAACTCGTGCTAAGATTAGACCAAGCTGAATTCTGCTCATGTATTTTTGACAAGTAAGGAAGGTGGTGTAGCTCAAACTACAGCTTACATTGTGTTTAGATAGCTCTGATTTTCTCCCAAAGGCTTTCAGAGGAGTCACTGACTGAGGCTGAAGCCAGTCCCGCTGATGATGCAGCAGAAGGGACCAAGTTTGGCTGCTGGCTCTCAGCTCTGTGAGCTTTGCAGTGCTGGCAGGAACAAAAAGCAGTAAAAACTTGCCTGTCACTGAAGTCAGCAGCTCTCACAATGAATGCAAACAGGGGGCAAATATGCTGAGTAAGAAGATGCCTTCCTACACGGTAACTTTAGAAACGAGAACTCTGAACAGACAGAAAAAGAGCTTAGAAATCACTGGCTGCAAGCATGGAGTAAAATCATGGGTGAAGCCGAAAGCTTAAATGATAGCGGCAGCGTTTGATTTGATGATGTCTCCCATACAAATCGTCCATAGCGTGTTGATACCATGATTCTCAAGCCATATGTTTGCAGTTTAGGTTGCATTTCAGCAAGCTACATTTTGGACTCGAGGCAGATGTAAACTTATGGCTGCTCTCTGGTGGAGACAAGTAAAGGGCAGCTCATCCTCAGCAGCAGAGCACTGCCCTGCACGGCCATCTGGAAGTGGTTTTATCGGTGCTGTATGAAGGGGTCAGTGAGAACCATTGACAAAATGGCACTCTATTTCTGATCAGTTCCTATCCTCACATTTAAAAATTAGTCTGCATGCATGGGAAAGCCAGTTTCACCTGGGTGTGGGGTACTCTGCCAAACCTGAACATCGCTGCACCTGCACCGGGCACTGCAGCGTCCACTGCATAGGGCTCTGGCTGAGCACCTCCACCCGTTGGATGCCCTAGGTGGGCATCTCTAGTTTTGGCACAGACCTTTGGTAAAGCTGGGTCCGGCTCCGTGCCCGTTTTGCAGATGCTCGCCATGCTGGCGAGGACAGCCCTGCAGTTTGTGGTGCCCAGGGGCACTCTGCGCCCTGGAGGAAGGCATGGCCGGCAGCTCCTGCCCCGGCCGGAGGGGCTCAGCCCCTGCCCGCGAAATACCGGAGCTGGCAGAGCCAGCCCGGCTCTGGGCTCTCCCGGTGG